CCTTCTGGGTTCATCATCTTACTGCTTGGTTTTAGTAAATGCAGGTCTCTGACAGCAAAATCTTGAGGCATTATTTAAACAAAAGTACTCAAAACCCATGGTCCTGAGGGAAGCACCCCAGATTTCTATCACTAAGATGGCAACTAGAAAAACTAAGCAAACTGCAATTCAAAGAAAAAAAAAAAAGTAGCAAAGCCTTCAGGTCCAGAGACAACTCCCAGCAGGCGATTTGAAGAAAAACAAGAAGTTAACTTGATCCAACCTCCTTAATAACCAGATGTTCGCAATCATCAAAAATAGACCTTTAGCYGAAACAACCTCTCTGTTCCAGAGCGTTCCGTTTCTAGGAGCATTTACATAACAACGTGTGACATCCGAAACGCTCGGGGCCCCCGAGCATGGCACTACAAATTACAGTCATTTTTCACCAAAGCCGCCGTGCGAGGAGCCGCTGCCGCTGCCGGGTGTGCCCCGGGGATGCGGGTGGAGAGCATCCCATCCCATCCCATCCCATGGATCCCATCCCATCCCATCCCATCCCATCCCATGGATCCCATCCCATCCCATCCCATGGATCCCATCCCATCCCATCCCATGGATCCCATCCCATCCCATGGATCCCATCCCATGGATCCCATCCCATCCCATGGATGCCATCCCATGGATCCCATCCCATCCCAAAGCGGCACAGGACAGCAGACAGAGCTCCTTACCCGCCGTAGGCTGGGATGGGAGGAGGGGGAGCCGCTGCTCGGAACGTGTTGTACACCGTGCGACCTCGGCCTCGTAGGTGGGCACCTCTGTAGGCAGCGGCTGCGGTGGCGGCGGGGTAGGGAAATCCTGGCACTGCAGGGGGAAAATAAAAATAAACAGTGATTAATGCACGATGGAAGAGTTCTGGGGCAAGCAGAGCGTTCTGTTAAAGCTCGCCAATGTCTTCTTTGAACTCATCTTTTCACACAAAATCCCCGCGTGCAAAGGGCAGGCAGCAAGCTGGGGTTTGGCTCACACACAGCTCTGAGCTCCTCAGCACACACCATCACAAAGAATGGTGGGTGGCTMAGCCAACATCACTGCCAGGAGACTCCAGAGCTCYGAGTTCAGGCTCAAATTCATCATGKCAGAGAYATTTGCATGGYGTTATTRGATCTRTCTGCTAAAGTCAGCCCTGCGTGGAGTAATGGTGGCAATTAGACACTTAGGTGACCTCAAGTCATCTAAATTATCCAGTGATTTTGCCAACTGAACAGAGCTTTGTTTTGGCTCTTAAACGTGTAATGGCAAAAAGAATGAGTTTTTCTCTATTTTCTCTTTGGGTTGCACACCATGCACATAACTCCTTCAAAGGCAAGAGTTGTGCATACTTTAGAAATTAATCTGAATCCACATAATATTCTGACAACATAGAAATAGCTTAATTATATAACAAAGAAATTAGCTCAGACATTTTTATATTGTCATTGCAACTAAGTGTGAACATTAATTACCATTCAATGCGAGACTTAAAATATTTTAATCAGAAATTGAACAGTAACACAGTATTAGAGAGTTTCTCTCTGGAGAAGCTCTGCAAAACTTCTTTCTTGATAGCTTTTTAATTGAAAAATTAATAATAAAACCCCAGAACAACAAACAAAACTTTCCACTTTCCWTTTTCTGCCAGTTTTTTAAGCAGTTACTCATTATTTCCTTTTTCTTTTTTACACAGATTGCATGCCAATGTTAGACCAGGTATGACTTGAATTAGTTCATCAGTGAGACAGATAAAATCAAATCCAGCTCTGTTAGCACTCAGGTGACATCAAATGTACTTCACCCTGTTGACTTTTTTTCAGTATGTAAATAAAGAAATTGAAAAAAATGTTACTTAGCAAAGACCTAATATAAAGCAAATGGAAATACTGATGTATAAAACAGTTTTTCAAATCTGAAGTATGAATTGATTTCAATCCTCATTTAGCACTGAATTTTAAAAGAAGCCTTGAATTTGGAAAAAGAAAATGAAAACATTCACAACTTTTAGGTCTTGCTGACTGAACATGTGAAGGCAAATACAAAAAGATTACACAGTAATTCTGCAGGTTTACATGCCTGGGATACAGCATAAACCAACTTTAGGGCAATACAAATAAATCAGATCTGTCTTAGGAAGTGCAAAYACCATAGTTTTATTCCTCTCTCTGTAAAAGAAATGTGTCAAAATCAGAAAGATGAGCTTGCAGAACTCAGTATCCTGATACTGGTAACTTTGATAAGTTGATAACTTTGCAAGCAACTACATTTAAGAAATCTTAAAGGAATTGTACTGGAAAAAAATTTCTTTTAAGGAAAAACAACACGTACATCACATATGTGAAATCTGGATGCTGTAAATACTTTTGCCTATTCAAGAAGATTGAGTATTGACCAGTACAAAGACAGCAGTGACAGAATTATCACCTGGCCCTGAACAAACTATATTTTCTCCTTTTCCTTTCCAAGTATACAGRCTTGTGTAACAGTTAATACAATATGCAGAGGAAAATGTGAAAAATAATTTGCATAATGTTCAAAGAGCTGCAGACCTACACACTCCCTCGAGTCTTACAGCTTTGCTTTGGGCACCCAGCTCCTGCCCCTTCCAAAATACAGGAATTGGACTCGATGGAGAACTGATCTAATCCAGTCAGTTATGTTTGTGTAACAGTGATTTCAGCTACACTCTGCCTGCGTTGGAAAAATCACTCCTTTCCAACTCATAGGCATTTCTAGAAGTAAGGTTTTTTTCAGTAAACTAATGGTTAATTTCTGCCTAAGAAAAAAAAAAAAAAAGGAAAAAAAAAAAAAAAAAAAAAAAAAAAAAAAAAAAAAAAACAAAACAAAAAAAAAAACAACCAAACAACAAATCACCAAGAGCCCACAAATAAAAAAAAAAAAAAAAAAGGTAAATAGATAAATAAAACCAAGCCAAACTAACCAGTACTGAGAAGAGTCTGCTTAAGCAAATGGGTGAAAATGGACTTGAGAGAATGGCTAGGAAAAATTGTTGTCTGAAATGATAAACTTTAGTCTTCAGGGACACACTTAAAATGTCAAAATTAAGAGAATCA